CAGATCAGTCATGATTTCATTGAAATGGTTGACAGTCTCGAGGGGCTGAATTCTATAAAAAGAATGTTGGAGAAACTCAGCAGGACTGGCAGCATCTGTGCAAAGAGAAACAGTCCATGGAAAGAAGAGACTAGAGCTAAATGGAGTATTTTCAAACTAGTAAACTCAAACTAGTGGGATGTAACAAGAATCCCTGATGGTCCCTCAGTAATAATCTATGTTAAGTACTTAGATGAAGGGATTAAGAGTAACGCAACCAGATGTGCTAATGATACAAAGCTGATGAGACAGTAAACTGTGAAGAGAATGCAAAAAGGCCACAAAAGGCTCTAGACAGGATAATGAATGAGCAATTAGATGAAGCAGAATGTGAGGTTGTTCACTTTGGTAAGTAAAATGAAAGTCAGAACACTTTAGCTAGTGAGAAATCTTTCAGCGTTGTTCAGAGAGATTTTGGTGTTCGTGTACAAGATCAACTGCAACCATCAATTATGAAAGGCAAACTACAGTTTGGCCTTTATTGCAAGTGGGTTGGAGTATAAAATGAGAATGTTCTAAAATTGAACAGGGCTTTAGTGAGACGACACATGAAGCATGGTGTGGAATTTTGATCTCCGTAACTATGGAAGGACATTGTAATGACTGTGACGGACGAGGTGCACTGGTGTTCAAGCTCCCCTACTCCAACAGTCACACTATTACAGCAAATATGTTAAATGAATAACCAAGATGGCCAATGGTTTCTTTTTAGTGCTATTATGCAGAATAAAACAAATGTCACCAGGCTTCTCTAATGAACTCAAAACAATCCATTTATTATGAACAAAATTTATTCTTAAATCAAGTGGTAAACTCTGATTGACACTTAAACTATGATTCAGAATTAAAACTATATTCCCTTAATCCCATGTGCAGACACACTCACAACAAAAAAGTCTCTGCACAAATAATTTTCTTTCAAATGGAAAAAGGGAAAAACAAAACAAAACAAAACCAAGGACACAGAAACAAAAAATAACGTGATAACTTCTCACATCCACTGAATTTCCTGTCAACGAAGCTGATTTGCTAACAGCTGTAGATTAATGGAAAATGTCCATTTTAATATCAATTTAGACTTGAGTCTCTAAAATGGAGTCTTATGCCACTGTTGAAAGTTTACCAGGTAGAAATTTTAGTATTTGGAAACTCTATCAGGTTTCCAGAGACAGAGAAAAACATTTCAGGACAAAGTCCTACAGCCTCAGGAGTGTCTTCTTTACAGTGACTTCTGGGTCTGCAGAGTAGAACTCTAAATCCAGGCAACCATTAGCCTAGGTGGCCCTAGTCCTCTTAAAGTCAGATTTTTCTCAGTAATTAAGACAACAAACACCATCCCTTATTTCCTTGAAAGCGTTGCTTAGTTGTTTCTCCAAAGTCACTTGATTTCAAGTTTAGAAAGGTGTTTTACAGCACAAATTAAATTGTTGACCTCAGTTTCCAAGAAATCACATGGTAAAACCCTTTTCAATCCAGAGAATGGCTGAATAGTTAAGCATCTTCCAGTTTTTCTCAGATAGTCCTTAAATATAAATATGTATTCCCAACAATTTATTACCTTTCGTTTGGCACAATGCCTGATTGGTTGTAGGGTTGAGGTGGCTATCTGAAAAGGTTGATTAAAATCAGTATAGATTCATAGAATGGCAATCTTAACGAAACATTCAAAATTCTGAGGGGGCTTTGTAGGATAGATGATGAGAAGTTCGATTCATTTGGTTAGACAGTCTAGAACTAAAGGGTCAATCCTATAGGACAGATAAGGAGGAATATTTTTACTCACCCAGCTGAAAATCTTTGGTTTGGTCTATCCTAGACAGCTGCGGAAACTCAATTATTGAACAAATTCAAAGCTTAGAATTATGATTTCAGGATTCTAGAAGATTCAAGGAATGAGACCCGATAGCAAAGAAGAGGTGAGGTCAAGAGTCCTTTTTAGTGTTAATCCAGTGCAACCCATTTTGAAGTGATTGGCCAACTTTGGAGAGGACTACAGCAAGGAAGAAGGAAAATAAAATCTAATGAAGTACGTTGTCAATTTGATTTTTCACCAGTTTGGAACAAAAGCTGGTTGGCCAATCAAATTGTTTTCAAAATCTGAATACAAACAAAATCTGGCTCAGTGCAAAGTAAACCATGACGTGAGGTTCCTCACACTTCCACTATCAAAGCAGTGATTTATTTCTGTATGTTATACATGTCTTGGAAACATTTCATATTCGGTTTTACAAAATATGCTATGTACAATAAACATCACACACACACACACACACACACACACACACACACACAAACACAAAGTGTTTACTATGCTGTAAATAGTTAAATGTAGATGAAATCTCAGTGTAATATTTTATTTCTTAGCAATTCCTCCTATAAATGGGATATCATCTCCTCACACACGTGATCTGTACTGATTTATCCCCCCTTTATTATTAATGTAACTGTAAACAATAGCTGTGGCTTTAGTGATTGTGACAGAAATCCCTTCAAAAACACCAAAGAGATACACAACAAAAATATAAAAAGTGTTACCAAATAACACCTGAAGATGGGAAAACTGCAGGATATATTCACAACACCACTACAGCATTTCAGCTTTAAATGCCCCTGTTTGATTGAAATGGTTTGCAGTGAAAGTCCAGCTCTGAATCCGAGCATTATGTTGGGGTTACATGACACCGGTTTCAGATTCCCAAAATCTATCAATTGAAGGAAAGCTTAGAGACGTAAGGAGTTTCACAGTTAGTAATGGAGACTGAGGGAGGAGAAGAGGCTCCAGAGTTTGAAGGGAAGATTAAGGGAGGTGGAGGTTCCACCATCCAGAGTACCTGAAAATGAATCAGATTAGGGACAGGAATGTTGATATCAGCAGGTTAATAATACCTGGAAATGGAGCAATGCATGTTGGAGCTTTTTGAGTTCAAGAGAAATAAGAGGAAATTTAATAGGAGAAATCTCATTTTTTTTTTGATGAAAGAGAGGGAATTAGTGAGGTTGCAGTGCAGTTTTGCCAGTGAATGAAAATTTACAGACCTTCTTATTGTGATCCCATCTTTAAATGTTATTGCAAGTTTTCCTCAGTAGCATTTCCAGTTAATAAATAGAGATATGTGATAACAATGAACGGGATATCATTAAGTAAATCAGCAGCAATTCAGTGATCAAATTCAAAGTAGCTGACCTGCTAACAACTGAAAATTCATTCATAAAACTAATTATGGGGGCAAAGTGTGGATGTCACAATGAGATTGTTTTGTGAATGGACTCAGGTGGCTCAAATTGAAGGCTAGAGGGAACTAGCAACTAACCATGGTCAAAATACAATTGTGGATTAAAGCATATGAAACAGCAAGGTCTGGTTCACCAATTTGGTGAGAAGGTAGTATTGAGGAATAGGTGAGGGTGAGGGATTAGGTCAGGACCTAAGGTTGACCAAATCTAAAATGGTCAGGTTTTTTTCTAGTTTTTTTTCTAAAAAGGTCAGGCTTGTTTAGCCTGACGTCCAGTGGGCTAAATGGACGTTTTCTGCATTTAAAAGTTCTTTTATGTTCAAAAGTAGGTGGTCAATTAGTTAAACCTAAAGCTGTCCATGATTGTCCTTCAGTTCCACCAGCTTCAGAACCATTGTTCTTGCTTGTTAGAGCAACTATAAAATCGAAATCACTGAGAAGGTTTAAGAATCTTCTCTTTTAACTCACTTGACTATAGCTTTAACTTCACTTTACCCGTATTTTCACCACAGAGCCTGCAGCCAATCATAGAATCATTGGATTAAACTGCATAGTTTGAATGTGTGTGCAACTGTTTGTTAGTCTATGCGTGTGAGTGCTTTGATGTTCTATTTTGTTCACTCATTGGATGTGGGCATCGCTGGCTGGCCAGCATTTATTGCCTGTCCCTAGTTGCCCATGAGAAGGTGATGGTGAGCTGCCTTGTTGAACCGCTGCAATGCACATTCTGTAAGTTGACCTACAATGTCATTAAGGGGGACATTCCTGGCTTTCAACCTTGTGACATTGAAGGAATGGCGATATATTTTTACATCAGGATGATGAGTGGCTTGGAGGGGAACTTGCAGTTGGTGGTGTTCCCATATATCTGGTGCCCTTGTCCTTTTAGATGGAAGTGATTGTGGATTTGGAAGATGCTGATTTTCTGCAGTGCATCTTGTAGATAATACACACGGCTGATATTGTGTGTGGGCAGTGAAAGGAGTGGATATTTGTGGATGTGGTGCCAATCAAGTGAGCTGCTTTGTCCTGGATGGTCCTTGAGTGTTGTTGGAATTGCCCTAGTCCAAAAAAGTGGTTAGTAATCTATCACACTCCTGTCTTGTGCCTTGTAGATGTTGGACAGGCTTTGGGGAGTCAGGAGGTGAATTACTCACCGCAGTATTCCTTGTCTCCGACCTGTTCTTGTAGCCATTGTGCTTATGTGGCAAGTCCAATTGAGTTTCTGGTCAATGGTAACCTCAAGGATGGTTAGAATGGGGTAATCAGTGATGGTAACATTGAATATTAAGGGCAGTGGTTAGATTGTCTCATTGGTGATGGCTATTGCCTAGCATTGGCTACTTGCCACTTGTCAGCCCAACCTCAGATATTGTCCAGATCTTGTTGCATTTGAAAATAGACTGCTTCAGTATCTGAGGAGTTGTGAATGTTGCGGAACATTGTGCTATCATTGACGAATATTTCTACTTCTGACTTTATGATCAAGTGAAGTTCACTGATGGAGCAGCTGAAAATGTTTGGGGCCAGGACACTACCCTGAGGAATTCCTGCAGAGATGTCCTGAAGCTGAGATTACTGACCTCTAACAGCCAAAACCACCACCTATGTGCCAGGAATGACTCCAGCCCATGAAGAGTTTGCCCCTGATACCCATTGATTCCAGTTTTGCTGGGGCTCCTTAATGCTACAGTCAGTTAAATGCAGCATTGATGTCAAAGACTGCCACTCTCACCTCACCTCTGGAAATCAGCTCTTTTGGCCACTTTTGAACAAAGTTCAGGAGCTGAGTCACCCTGGAGGAACCCAAACTAGGTGTCACTGAATGTGCATTAATGCATGAGGGTCAAAATGAGCTTCAGCAGCATTGATCCCTCTGGAATCAAACAGCCTGTCAATGTTCACTGTCACAACTCACAAGGTGGATAGGTACTTGGAGGTGTAAGGATGGTGATACCTATTAAAATATGCGCTGTTAGCCCAGGTGACAGTGTTAAGACAATGAAAAGCAGATCCATAGTCCTCTCTGTAACAGAGATATCACATTACACTCTATCCAGCGACGTCTCAACTTTAAACTCTTCGCCATTGTGTTCAAATCCCTACATGGCTTTGCCCTCCCTAGCTCTGTAACCTCCTACAGTCCTTCAGACTTTAACCTTGAAATTCTCACCAGCTCCCTCCTTGGAGATATTCCTTAAAAACATAGCTCTTTCAGCAAGCATTCAATCACCTTCCTATTTATTCCTTATGGAGCTTAGAGTTCAGCTTCCGTTTGGTGAGCTCCTATCCAGAACCTTGCTACATTTTGCTACGTTAAAAGCTTGATGTAAATACAAGTCATTATATATAATAATTAATGATATTTCAGAGTATCACATTTCTCTAAAGAGCAGGCAAACTGCCCAGAGTTAGCAATCAAAGTATCAGTTTCAACAAGAAGACGGAAGCATTTATAAACCACAATCTCAGTCACTTAAATCAATAGAATTCCTCGCTTTTCAACAGAAAGTTAAAAACCAGTTGACATGAAATGCACAGAACGATCACTCTCCTCTTCTCCCTTCTCATCCCTCCTCTCTCCTCCCAGTAATATTCACATTGATTAATTTGCTTATTATGTTGTTTGTGTAATATTTTTATGGGTGTAAGAGTAAAGATTATGAATACAAGGGATGGGAATGTTTTACCTGAGTTGGGTACATTACAGGAATGAAACAAGATGCTATGATGAATAAAACAAATCACAAAAAAGCATGATGACACCAAGAAAATTGAACTCCCTAATATTCCCTTTGCATCAGAAATCTGATATTTCGGGTTTATAAATTAATAGGTAATTTTCCACGATTTTGTTGTTGGTGGAGACATTAGCAAGGTAGGAGATCGATATAGTCCAGGTTTGAGGCTAGACAGGAATTCAGTCTGGGTCCCAGCTCATTGGGAACACAGCTTGGCGTCATGGATGGATGGAAATACAGCATGAAGTCATGGCTACCTAGGAGGACAGTTTGGGGTCACAGCCAGATTGGCGAGAAATCTGGAGTCACATCTAGACTGAAGAGCAGCCTGGGGTCACAGCTATATTGGACAGCAGTGTGGGGTCACAGTTAGACTGATGAGCAGTCTGGGGCCACAGCTAGACTGATGAGCAGTCTGGGGCCACAGCTAGACTGATGAGCAGTCTGGGACCACAGCTTGATTGGACAGCAGTGTGGGGTCACAGTTAGACCGAACAGCAGTATAGAGTTGCAGCTAGACTGGGCAGCAATCTAGGGTCACAACTAGATTGGATAGCAGTCTGGATTGTGGTGAGATCAGAGAGAAATATGAAGTAACTGACTGAAGAACAGCCTGGGATCATAGCTAGAGAGGTCAGTAGCTTGGAGTTGCAGCTAGATTGGAGAGGCAGTCTGGAGTCTCAGCTAGATTGGAGATCAGTCTAGAGTTGTGGCTAGACAGGACAGCAGTCGGTAGTTGTGGTTGGATAGGTGCACAGCTTGGATCATTGTTAGACAGGAGCACAATGTGGGTTTTGAAGAAGAGTAGGGGAGATCCCCCAACCACAATGTGCTGGCTAATAGTCATCCATCAACCGATATTAAAAAGAAAAATCATCTGGTCATCAACCCCTCTGCTGCTTATAAATTGGCTGCTGCACTGCCTAAGCTATTATAATTACTACATTTCAAAAATACTCCCCAAGTACTTTGCTAGCCAATGAATGCTCTGAGGTTGTGAAAAGCACTGCAGATATGCATATTCTTTTCTGTGTATTGACGTCTGTTCTGTAGTTTAGCAGACAGTGTCAGACAGTCCAGTAAATTGATAGCACAGGTACAGATTTGGGGAATGTGGCACTCAGCTGAAAGGGATTCTTGTAGGGAAAGAGTGAGACTGTCTTGGACACAAACATTGAACATCTGAATATCTAAACCTTAACATTTCAGAAAGGAAATTACTTGAATATTCTCAAGGAGGGAAGATTTCGGTTGCTCACTGCTTAATACAAAATCACACAGACGTTCTTTATACAAACATTAACAATTTCACAATAAATGGTGGACACTGATGATTTGGGTATTCCTGCCCTGACCCCAGTGTATAAGGAACCTGTATACAAGCAACTTTTAAATGTTCATTGTTAAATTCTATTATTTTTTATATCGTAGTGTCAAAATACACAGATTTCTAGTGAATTGACAATAAAACTAGAGAAAAAAATGTAAAAAAGGAAACAACAGACTTTCAAAAGGATTCTTTGAATAATGTCGTAATTATAAATCTGGTTATATATAGTTTCTTTTTGGGAAAGCTAAAGTCCTCCAACACAGTTGGGGTAGGTTTCAAACTTATTCCCAGCCAGCTAGTTGTAGAAACAGCCAAGCCTCCATTTGCAGGTAAATAACAGCAATTGAAAATTGGACAGTTTGTACAACAACTGAATTTTTGCAACTGGGAAGATAGCTGAAATTCCACCTCCTTGGTTTGCTTGATAGTTAGTCACTTCATGTCACTTGCAGTTGAAGACCTGTTTACAGTGAGCAAGATATTCTTTGAGCAAAGTCTAAAATTATGCATTGGACTGGTACAGTGAACTATAAGTCCTGTGGAAATTCTTCACATGGGAGTTGGGTACTAGAAGCTGGAGGTGCTTTCTGGACTAATGGGATCCATGGGCTGTGTACTCCATCCCTCATGCTCCTGAGCACCGTGCAAGAGGTGTCCATAGTCATTGCTGTGAATGGTCTGCCCTGAGGCCTCAGAATGCAGGGCTGATCTGCATCTACACCTATCTGGCTGTCTGCAAAACTCCGAGACCACGTCTGTGTGTTTACTTGAAGGTTTTCTATCATGAAAGAAGAAATGAACATGAGTTAAATTGCAGGCCTAAAGATTGAAACGGGATGAGGTGTCATTGCTGTCCACATGCACGTATGCGCACATGTGCACATACACAGACACACACACACACACACACATACACACACACACACAAACACACACACACACACACACACACACACACAAATTTTGTATCCATTGGTGGCCATGCCTTTAGCTACTTGGGTCCTGGAATTTCCTCCCTAAATCTGTCCACTCCTTTATTCCTCTCTCTTCCTTTAAATTGCTGCTTAAAATCTACCTCTTTGATGATTTTGTTCACCTGTTCAGCTGGCCTTTATGTGGTTCGGTATCAAATTTCTGTTTAATACCCCTCATATGAGGCTTCTTGGGGTGTTTCATGACAAAGTTATTCTTACATGATCTTGTTGGTTGCTTCTTCTCATACAATCACATTTGTAGGGCAATGTTCTTGTTGAATGATGACATCTCTTTGATTGACTTATGATCTCTGACAGTTTGGAAGGTCAAGAACAGAAGGTGCGTGAATACTCCAACGACTCCAAGCTTTCCTCTAAGTCACATCTCGTCCTGTCTAGGATTTATAATTGGCTGTTACTTTGTTGTTGGGTCAGAATCCTGGGACCTGCTCCCTAAAAGCACATGGGTGTACCCCCTACGCCACATGAGCTGCAATGGTTCAGGAAATCACTCACCACCTCCTTCATGAGGGCAGTTAGGGATGGATAATAAGTGGTGGGCTTATAAGTGATGCCCACATCCTAAGAATCAATAACATAACAAATCACATCAGAGATTCCTGGTTAGAGGGATATTGGTAGGCAGACCCATTGTGCAGTAATGGAATTTGAAAGAGGACTTTGTGATGAGGGCTTCACCAAACACGTGAAATATTTAACCTATTTAACAGCCAGTTGTGATTGGTTAACCTTTAGATTTCTTTAGCAATTGTCCTGAATACAGCAGACTATAACTAATTTGTAGAACGTGTATCTCTTATTCTATGAAACTGAGACTCAAATAAGAGAGACTCATAGTCAAACTTATCTATAATAGCTGAATAACAGTTATTTTATCCAGATTTTCTTTGAAAGAGTTTTTTTTAAGAATAGCAGATAATATAGGCATAAGTAGCAAAAACAGAAATTGCTTTAAAAACTCAGCAGGTCTGGCAGCATCTGTGGAGAGAAATCACAACTAACGTTTTGGGTCCAGTGACCCTTCTTCAGAACACTTGATTTCCCACATGTGCAGTTCTTTTGTTTACAGTTAGGCATAAGTAGGTTGACTTTGTGAAATTTGGGCTATGATGAAATTAATTTTTTCAGTGCTGAATCCTTACCCCTTCCTTCATACAGTATAAAAGAATACATGTATTATTGCCTGTCCTGACAGTGTTTGATGGGGAATAAAAACTGAAATTGCTGGAGAAACTCAGTAGATCTGGCAGCATCTGTGGGAAGAAAACAGAGTTAACATTTCAAGTCAGGAGACTCTTCATCAGAATTGCTGAGTTTTTCTAGCAATTTCTGTTTTTGTGTCAGATCTCCAGCATCTGCAATTCTTTCTTTTACTTTAGTGTTTGATGGGCACTGTCTAGGTGGTGCTTTGCTAAATATCTAACCTCATGCTGGACCTGTACCCGGAGTGTTTGAGGGGGACAGTGTAAAGAAAGCTTGACTCTGTTTTTAACCATGTGCTGTACCTTTTCTGGGAGTGTTTGATGTGGATGGACCTTTACTTTGTATCTTTTTGTTCACTCATGGGATGTGGGCATTGCTGGCTGGGCCAGCTTTTACCGTCCATCACTAATTGCCTTTGAGAAGGTGGTGGTGAGCTGCCTTTTTGAACCACCGCAGTCCACATGCTGTAGATTGACCCACAATGTCCATGGGGGGAATTCCAGGATTTTGACTCAGCGACAGTGAAGGAATGACAGTATATTTCCAAGTCAGGATGGTGAGTGGCTTCTGGGGGGATCTTGCAGCTGATGGTTTTCCCATACTTCTGGTGCTCCTGTCCTTCTAGATTGAAGTGGTTGTAGGTTTGGAAGATGCTGTCTTAGGATCTTTGGTGAATTTCTGCAATGCATCTTGGAGATAGTACACATTGCTTCTACTGAGTGTCAGTAGTGGACAGGGTGCATCTTGTGGATGTGGTGTCAATCAAGCGGGCTGCTTTGTCCTGATACTCAATGTCTATATTGCAACACGTTCTGTTCCACAGCGTAGGGAATGGAAAAAAAATGAATAGCAACAGCTTTTCAACTGGGTGAGCTTGGCAGTGGTTTTTGAAACAGTTAGACAATGGAATGCATGCACCAAGGAGACACCTCCCCTCCATACTATCTGCACCTCACCTGAACACCATTTGTTTTTTATGCTTGGTCTCTATCTTCTCAAGCTCTTCAGATGCCAGGACCATCCCACTGTCTGTCTGGTTGTCCTGAAATAAAGGTTGGCAGGGAATGGAAATTAAATTGCAACAGTAGCACTGCAAAAATAAGGCAGCAATGTTTCGGCAGTGATCTTCTTAGCAAAGCAGTTTGGGTTCAATGTATCACAGTGGGATTCACAGGTTACATTTTCAAATCTATTTTTATCTAAAAACTGGTGCTCAAAAGAGATAATTATGTCATTGATATAACAGGCTGAAAATTTGCAAACAGGTATCGGATTAATGGAGATGAAATTGGTCTCTACTGGTAGCACATAACAGCTGATGGTGAATCAGACTCTCCTAGTGTTTAAATTTCTTTTCTATCAAAGTCAAAGGGTTCTATTTCGTTGGCTATCTTGCTCTTACTCATTTACAGTTCCAAATGGCTTAGGGGCCCTTCCATTGACCTCTTTGTCCAAGTGTTGCTTGATCTTATTCCCATTGGATAACCAGGACCACATTCCAGTTAGGAACCCTGGCTGAAGATTCATTCCCACCTCTTTAAACCAAGGGCAAACTGAGACATTGCAGCAACTTCATCACCACTAGGCCCCTCTGAGATACACTATTCTAACACAGACCAACCTTAAGGCACCTTTATCATAATGGATCAGGATTTTAAAAGGCATTTTTCTGAGACAATATAGGGGCATCTATCAGAATCTATTGGTCAATACCAATCCATTTAGTAAGGCATGATATGGCAAGAAGCATTCCATTTTGCAGGAGGAGGGGAGTTAGTAGGATGCAGGAAGGAAAGAGGCCATAAAGGGATGAAGTATTAACCTGGATTTGGGAGAACATGGATTACTCACATTTTGCATGGTCTTCATTGTCTCTTCCAATGGGACATCTTCAAATGTTTTCACTCTTGAAGGGCACTTAATCTGACTCTCTCCAGTTATATGTCCAGAAAAAGAGACACAGTTATAGTATCTGCAGAGAAATAAATTCTAGTGATTCAAGTGTTGGTCAACACAAACCACACTCCAGCACCAACCCTCAATGTATATGGTATTGCAAGATCCACCTTCAACACAACCTGCATTCCAGCACTCACCCACATTGCAAATCTCACTCCAGCATCCACCCTCAACACAAATCTCACTCTAGCAGCACCACCCTCAATCCAAATCACAGTCCAGCATCCACCCTCAATACAAATCTCATTCCAGCAGCCAGTCTCTTTACAAATCTCATTGCAGCCCCCAACCACAACACAAACCTCATTCTCAATGTAAATGGCACCCACCATCGACACAAATATCACTCCATTAAGCAACCACAATAAAGACCTCATTCCAGCACTACCCTCAATGCAAATCATACTCCAGCACCCATCCTTCAACATACTCTGCACTCAAATTTGAATCTCAACAAAGTCAATGATCTGTATGTCCTTTCTTGCTATGATCTGCCTATACTGCTCACCAGCAAAGCCCTTCACTGTACTTAGGTACAGATGACTACAATAAATAAGTTAAATCAAAATCAGCCTACACAGACCTGGAAGCCTGTATTTGTCTCGAGCTGAAGGCTGGCAGGTGTGTAGGGCTGGTGGTGGTATTGATGTAACATTGCTAGTGTGAATGTATGTTGCACTGGAGGGGAGTGTGCTGAGGCATTGTGCAACAACTATGGATAGTTTGATAGATTCTGGTATCATTGCACTGGTATCAGTGGGACAGGATGTTTCCTGAGATCAGGAAGTGCTGGGGATAGTGACAGGATCTGCTGGAACTGAAGTCTCAAGGTATGATGTGTAGGAAAGGGTTGAAATCTGAGAGTCTTGGGTTAATTACTGAAGTCTGCTGTTAGAAGGAGTCCTAGGTACTATTAGATTGTAGGGATCTGAGGGTGCAGAGTACTGCAGTCTGACGATACTAGAGACCGATAGGGTGTCCTGTTGTGGTAATGCACTGGGGTGGGAGCTGGGATCTCTGAATGTTGGTATCAGATTCTGCAGGTGCTGAGTTGGGTGGGGTGGTGTTACTGGTGGGAGCCTCAGAATACATGGAAACTGGGATGCATGATCTTGGGTACTGAAGCAGACATTTCCAGGAGGAGAGTACTGTGGCATAAGGGTTGAGGTTGTGGAGCACTGCAGATGTTGGCTGTATTTCTGCAATTAGCCAATCATATACAAACGTTTTTGTCCACCACTTACCTGGGTCCTATACTGTCACATCGTAATCTTGATTTAGACCCTTTATCATCTCCATGAGACATGGATGAATGCGGCTGGGAAAAACACAAGTCGTCTTCTGTACACTGCAACATACTGAGAGGAATGTAGTCTTTCCCATCCTAAATGAAAAGACAAACTGGCATTTATATACCATCTTATACAATCTCGGGACATACCAAAGTGCTTCAAAGTCACTTTTGAAGTGTAGTCACTGTTGAAATTGTGGAACCATGGCAGCCAATCTGTACAGAGCAAGATGCCACCAGTAGCAATATGACAGTGATCAGATAGTCTGTTTTTCTAGTCACGTTGGTTGAGGGATGACCCAGAGCACTGGGGAGAACTCCCTCTTTTTCAAAATAGTGAGTGTTGGACCTTTGCTAACCAGCTGAGGGTGTAAATGGGGCCGTGGTTTAATTGTACTTTTGAGACACAGGGCAGCATTTCCTCAGAGTTTGTTCTGCAATGGAAATGTCATGAGATAAGGATGTAAATGCAATTAATAATTCAAAAGGTTATGTCTGTCTCTCTTGTGTTGTTCCAGATGGCAGGAGGATTCCTGTGGATTTTAAATTATTTCTCCAGAGGTACAGTGCAAACCTAAGAAAATGATTAAAGATCCTTTCCAGATTCAGCTTGTGACTGCCCCACTGCGTAAGTAAAACAGACAGAAAAGTCTTAGGTTTCTTGGAATGTGGGTGTCAATTGCAAAGCTAGCATTTATTCCATTGATAGTGTTGCCCTAGAGTTATAATGCTCTGATCAGCACTCAAGAATTTCAAAGCCATCCAGGACAAATCCCTGTCCACCATCGTAAGCATTCACTCCCTCCTCCACTGCAGCATCATGGTAGAAATGTGTACATCTACAAGGTGCAATGCATAACACACCAAGCCTGCTTCAACATTACTTTCCAAACCCATGTCTTATACTATGGAGAAGGGCAATGGCAATAGATTCATGAGATGCTGCAGGTTCCCCTCCAAGCTACTCATTCTCTGAACATACAGCCATTCCTTCACTGCCGCTGGGTCAAAATCCTAGAAATCCCTTTCTAACAGCACTGTGGGTTTACCTACCACCTCTAACTTCTCAAAGGCCAAATGGGATGGGCAATACATGGTGGCCTAGTCAGTGACATGAGACAATGAAAGCAAATAAAAAAAAAACTCTGGAATGGAACTTAAATCCATGAAGAGGTCATATTTTCACCATTGTGCTGTTGTTATGGATAGTTGCAAACATGGAAAGCTTTGGGAAGCATTTCATTGTCACCTGTTCCTCTGACTTCTCACAAACTATTTCTTATGAGTTAGTTAATTTTCTCAAGGGCAATGCTAGCAGGGTTCCCCTTCCTGATCACAGTCCAGAAAGTGCTACTTGGGCGGGGGGGAAGCAGAAATGGAAGTGATTGGCAATAGATTGACCTTAGGCTCTGACGCCTTGCTGAACCCAGTGGTCTACAGAGTAGCAATTTGGATGAGGCATTTTAATTTTACCTTGAGGCTTGGAAGCAATGAGGGGAAATCCCAATGAACCTAGACACAGGAAACAAATTCAGCACCTTGAGTGAATTTTTGTTAAAGAGAATTATTTTGACCTACCAGTGCCCTATCAAATGGCACTAGCAATTATACTCAAAAAGTTCACTGATCCAGGTGTGATCATAAGTGATGGGGTGAAGTAGTTCAGGTGGCTCACCTGTTGGACATTGGCTTGTAACAGATCTCCAAGGAGCTCCACAAGATCAGAGAAGGTTGGCCTGTCTTTCGGTTCCCCTTGCCAGGTGCTCAGCATTATACGATAGCTGCCAAAGCAATTAATTCACTTGTTAGTCAACAAAAGATGATCAAGACCTTCCAAGAAATTTTTTCTTCAAGGAAAAGACTTTTTTTTAAATTCCTTCTTGGGATGTGGGCATCACTGGCTGAGCTAGCATTTATTATCCATCCCTTGTTGCCCTTGACAAAGCAGTGGTGAGCTGCCTTTTTGAACTGTTGCAGTCCAGTTGGTGTAGACACACCCACAGTGCTATTAGGAAGGGAATTTTGGGATTTTGACCCAGTGTCACTGAAGGAACGGCAATACGTTTCTAAGTCTGGATGGTGAGTGCTTCAGAGGGGAACTTGCCTTCTCCAACGCATCTGCTGCCCTTATCCTTCTAATTGGTAGTCATCATGGGTTTGGAAAGTGCTGTCTAAGGAGCTTTGTTGAGTTGTTGCAGTACAGTCCATTGTTATCACTGAATGTCAGAGAGGGAGGGTGTGCATGTTTGTGAATGCATTGCCAATCATGTGAGCTGCTTTGTGGTGTCAAACATTTTGAATGTTGTTGCAGCTGCAACAGCCAGGCCGGTAGGAACATTCTATCGCATGTCTGACTTGTAACTTGTAGATGATGGACAGACTTTAGGGAGAAAGCATGGGCAGCATGGCGGCTCAGTGGTTAGCACTGCTACCTCACAGCACCAGGGACCCGGGTTCGATTCCGTCCTCAGGCAACTGTCTGTGTGGAATTTGCACATTTTCCCCATGCCTGCATGGGTTTCCATGCCTGCGGGTGCTCTGGTTTCCTCCCACAGTACAAAGATGTGCAAGTTAGGTGAATTGGCCATGCTAAATTATCCATAGTGTTGAGGGATGTATAGGTTAGGTATGTTAGCCATGGGAAATGCAGGGTTACAGAAGCAGGGTAGGGGAATAGATCTGGGTGGGATGCTCTTTGGAGGGTTGGGGTGGACTTGTTGGGCTGAATGGCCTGTTTCCAAACTGTGGGGATTCTATATAAAAAGGAGGTGAGTTACTCATTGCAGGATTCCTTCCCTCTGACCTGCTCTTGTAGCCACAGTATTTATATGGCTAGTCCGGTTTAGTTTCTGGTAACCCCCAGGATTTTGATATGGAGGATTCAGTGATGGTACATGGAATGTCAAGAAGCAATGGTTAGATTCTCTCTACTAATGACTTAATTTTAAAATTTTCAGATGTGGAAATTACAGTTTGCTGATAAGACATGTTCATAAGGATGGATTTTGCATTTGCATAGTGCCTTTTATATAAAACAATAAGAAATAGGAACAGGAGTAGACCATTCACACGATGAGGCTAGTTCTGTCATTTAAGAAGAACATAACTGATTGTCTATCTCAAATCCACAGGTTCCACCACCACTTTCATATTCTCTTCTTATATCTCACAATTCCTTACTGTAAAAGGTCTATTAATCTCTGTCTTGAAAACACTCAGCTTTACAATCCAAAGATGGGCCAAAATCTTTCCTGGTCAAATAAATACTGTTTTGATGATGTAGGAATTGCAGCAACCAATTTACACACTGCATGTTCCCACAAACAACAATGTGATTAATCACTATATTTACAAAATTCTATTTTAATGACATGAAGTGAAGGAATAAATATTAGCCAAGAGACTGAGGGAACTTCCATTAATCTCCTTTGAGTAGCCTCATTGGATCATGGAGAGCAGAGAGAAGACACTATCAGTGCAGTATTTGCTCAATACTGCACTGTGAATGTCAGTTGAGACTTTGTGCTTAAGTTTCTAAACCCACTTGTCTCCTGACTCAGAAAGCAATTACAGAACAGATCAGATGCTGAATGATATTCTCTCTACAATCCTGTCAAACAATCCCAAGGTAGGCAGAGTACGTAAGAACATAAGACCTAGGAGCAGGAGTACGCAATTCAGCCCTTCAAGCATCAAGCATTTAATATGATCCCATTGCGGCTTCAACTCCACTTTTCCGTCTGCTCCTCAAAACTTTTTAACCCTTTAAAAATCTGTCTGTCTCTTCCTTAAATTTATTCAGTATCCCGGCGCCCACTGCACTCTGGCATGGTGAATTCCACAGATTCACGATCCTTCGAGAAATATAATTCCTGTCATAAGAGATAACAAGGTGTAGAGCTGGATGAACACAGCAGGCCGAGCAGCATCAGAGGAGCAGGAAAGCTGA